CTAAAAGACTCCAGCTGTTTAGCACTCTCTAAAAGACTCCAGCTGTTTAGCACTCTCTGAAAGACTCCAGCTGTTTAGCACTCTCTGAAAGACTCCAGCTGTTTAGCACTCTCTGAAAGACTTGTTTCCAGCTGCTTCCTACGGATTTCGGGGTGCTGGATGATGCAAAACAAAAGTAGCCCTACTCGTGATGGCAGGCTGCCCCTGTAAGCCCAACAGGTGCTCCTCACGATTTCTTTTTGGTAACGCAACGTTACTGCATTGGCTCAATAAACACGACTGGCTCAAATCCCTCAAACTGCACTAAATGCTGCCAGACTTTATAAATCACCTTTATCAAAATTTGTCCCAGACATGGAACTGTAGTCATTTTCTAAAGCATTTTCTGTTCTAGAATGTTCTTGCATAATTGTTCTTCAATCTGTAAATCATTAAATGTGGCACATGCTATGGGTCTGACACTGACTAAGAATTGAATTCATAATATAACAACTGGCTAAATACAAAGCAAGAGGATTATTCCACTAAGACATTGTTTCCCATACGGTCCTTGGGGATTGGCAGGCGCCCACATATTTGCTCACTCCCAGTTCCCTACTGGGCAGAAATGTGGATTGTCTGGCAGGGAGCTGGGAGGGAGCAAAAACGTGGACCGACGCTGGGTTCCTGAGAACCAGGTTGGCAGCAGATAAAAGTCCTCATCTAAAGGAGCCAATCAATCTCCTAGCTTCAGGGGTTGATGTCCCTGTTATAGCGGAGTCCGGACACAGTATGATCTTTACTGTCTACCCTTTAAATGCCTGCTGTGAGCTCAGCCAACTGCTTGGTATCAGTCAGTTGCTGCATTACTGTGGTTACTGTGGTTACCAGCACATGGGACTATTTTATATGTTAGCCCAGTTTTTCCCAGTCCGACCCTCGGGGATCCACAGACAGTCCATGGTTTTACTCACACCCAGACTGATGGCATGTTTACTCACTCTGTGAATCAATGGCTTTTTTTTTTTAGCACTAAGATGAAAACCTATCATGATGTGATACCAATATCCTGCCTGACTGAGTTCCCCAATGTTATCCAGATGGCCAAGGTAAGATGTCCTGAGGCCCTGATATCTGGGAAAACACACTAACACCTTAGTGCTAATGGGCTTCGGGCAGATTGCGAATTTGCAGATGAGTGGAAAGAGCCGGATTGGTTTAATGGAAGTAAATGAATTCTAATTTTTGTTCCCTTTTTTGTTGAAGAAATGTACCCTGCTGGAGTAACACTCATAATTTCATTTTACAATGACAATAAAAGGCTTCTGTATTCTTATGTTTGCTACTGCCAGCTCGCCTGTGAGGAGGTGAATGTGGACCGCTTTTTCCCTGTGCTCTACCCAAAGGTTTGTTTGTTTGCTTGCATATTTATAAAAGTCGTGGTTTGAAAAGTCTAAGTGTGTTTTTCCACTGCACCAAATACTGTATTTTTGGTACTTTCGCTTTTCCATTGACTTCTGGTCGAGTACCAGTACCAAAAGTACAAAACCAGCTGGGGTACTACTTTGGTACTTTGGGGTGGGACTTGAAACGCTTTCTTTGTCGTTAGGTTACGCAAATAGCCTGCCTCTGATACACAATACAAACATTGCCTTGAAAACAGTTGCAAACTCATGCAACTATAAATAATAATAGTGAAGTAAAAAAAAAAAAAAAGATTTGGTCATAAGAACATATACAACAAAAAGATCCAGGTGTTATGACACGAAATTCAAAAGTTTTTTGTTGAATATACTAATACAGCATTCATATCATGTGCTGTCCTTGCGATGTGATTTTGTTATACATAGAATGATGTGATGTTGTAACAAATATTGAGGCAGCGCTCATGTAAAAGCGGTGTGAGGTCACTTCACTGATTTATAAACATATAAGAATCTATAAAAGGAATAATAATTAAAATTGCAAAGCTAGCTAAGGTTTTTTTCCTATGACAGGGTAACAGAGTAAAAATATTTTAACAAAACTTTAACCCCCTGCACAATAATGTCCATACAGAATTGAAAGTAAGAAAAAAGCCTTATTTTAATATAGCTGACTAGTGAGGTAAAAATTGTATGTGCATAACATGCGATGTTGGTATTAATATTGTACATCGGCAAGCCATATGATATACTACAGCGATTTCTCGAATTCAGTACAAAATACCCTGCTTCGTGTTGTGATGTCATTTGGCACCTGTACCAGTTTTTACACCAGTGGAAAACCAACACCTTGAAGTACCGTACTTTTGGTACCTTCTTGAAGTACCGTACTTTTGGTACCTTCTTGAAGTACCAAAAGTAGGGTACCTGGTGCGGTGGAAAAGTGCCCTAAGAGGGATTTGGAATTAATGGGATCTAACTGATATTTTCACCTCAGTTTCCATCTCCTCAGGATCATACTTGATGTAGATGCTTCTACAGCCTGATATATAGGCTAGATAGGGGGAGTTCTGTTGGCTCGGCTCTGCGACCGCCTCGTCACATTCCGATCTCTAACTGCTCCCTTCCCTGCCCAGGCTTCAAGGCTCATCGTTACATTTGACGAACATGTGATCAGCAACAACTTCAAATTTGGTGTCATCTACCAAAAATTTGGACAGGTGAGGATTCATACGTTCTGTTTCATTGCAGTGGCTGGCTTGGAAGATGCTTTCCATTAGGGGGTCACAGGTGTAGATCGCGGTGTCCTTACGAGCAATTCAGTCATTTTCATCATAAGAACATAAGAAATTTACAAACGAGAGGAGGCCATTCAGCCCATCAAGCTCGAAACGTGGAGATTGGCAAGGATCGCAAGAAAAAACCAAACACGGTCACAGACTAGTATGAAGGTATGTGTGTACTTCATTTTTTTATAAGTATAATGTGCATTATACATGTCAATTAATTCAAAATGTAACACAAGTCTCAATTTCTTTTTTATTTTTAGTGTGGGGTCGACATCATGGACCAGAAGGTCCATGCAGGAACACGCCAGTGGCCAGTTGCCATGTTCTACAACATCCTTGACCTGGCAGCGATGAATGCCCACATTCTCTACAAGGCGTGTACAGGATCCACAGAGAAAAGACGAGTGTTCATGGCCCACCTTGCGGAGGAGCTTCAGCATCGTTTTATGCAAGAAAAAGAGATTGAAAAAGAAATTAAAATACAACTTGGACAAGCTTCTGTTCCTCAGCTTGCCGCTGGAAAGAAGACTGTGTCAGGTGCTCCGTCACTGTAATAGGAACCACAGGAACCACAGTGTGACAGGTACCCACAGCGCAGAGAGATGTGTGCAGAGTGACAGGTACCCACAGCACAGAGAGATGTGTGCAGTGTGACAGGTACCCACAGCACAGAGAGATGTGTGCAGTGTGACAGGGACACCTGTCGCAAGTGTAGGAAGGAGGGTCCTTGGGTGTGTGACGACTGTTAGTGGCTAGAAATGGTTTTGTACTTTTTGCGTATGTGCTTATTTTATTTAATAAAAGTGTATCTTCCACTTGAATGACACTGACTCTCTCTCTGTTTCATACCCACACATATGCTCTTTATACCATCTGATACTTGAAATTTACACATTCTGTGTCTAAATTTCTGGCAGCTTGTACTCATGAATCAATGATGCACCTTTTTCCCATGTACCATATGAAGTGTTTACATCAAAAATGCACATGCATGCATGTGCATAAGATTGTCTGCAAAACCTAACATTTATTTCATCATAAATTTACACATATAGCTGTAGACTCAGAGTATACATCAAATATATGTATTTGTTATATCAAATATATTTGTGTAATTGACACCACGGTTACCGTAGTAGATTGGGGGATTCCACCCTATTTCAAATTATGCTGTATCAAAGCATGTATACGATTCCTTACAGCACACCGCTAGATAAACTCCTTAGTGCAGACCTGAGTCGAAGAAGTGACTTCAGGCTGGGGGGTGACTTTGACTGAGTGACTGTGATTCATTTGCAAAACAAAAGGTATTAATGGCGCGTTCAATTATTTCTCTCCGAGTCAGAACTCGGATGACATCACGAAACGTCACGAAAAACGAAACTTCCCGTCGGAAACACGCCTCTTTTATGACGTTGATCTCAGACAGAATGGTGCATTCATTTTTCTCTTGGAACTGGGAAATTCCGAGAAAATTCTGGTGCTGGAGAGGGGGGCGGACAGCTTGTGTGGGGAGTAAGGGGGGGGGGGCTCCTCCTAAGGAGAGCCTTATTTTTCCAGGAATTTCCAGTTAATTAGACCCTGTTTTGCATAGTTTTACAATAGTCTTGTTCATATACAGTGCCTTGTAAAAGTATTCCAACCTTCGACAAAATCGCATCTCTTTCCACAGAAGATTTTAAGTCAGAATAATAATACCCAGAATGAAATATTGTAAATCAACATGAGTTTTGCATTATAAAAATGAAATATTCCATTAGCATTACTCAAGGGGAGAGTCCTTTTATGTGTTTTATGGCGTGGGCTTGGCCTAGAGGTCCTTTAGACCTGGAGAATGGAGAGGCGGGGGGGGGGGGGGGGGCCCCCCCCCACCCCCCCCCCCGGGCCCCCCCCCCCCCCCCCG